TAAACGGTGGCAATAATTTAGATGTTTTGTTCAGCTTGCTCGGTGCTCTTGTCCTAAAGGAGTCCTTTCTTAAGTCCCCTGTGACTCCCCTGAGGTTGGGTCATGCACGTCCTCCTGTCCCCTGCCGCCCACGTCTTCTAGTCCTGTCCCCTGCCGTCCACGTCTTCTAGTCCGGTCCCCTGCCGCCCACGTCCACCACCACCACCTTAAAGCTCATCACTGTACCTCCGTTTACTCATTAGCTCACTCACCAGTCCCCCAACCACTTGGGCTGGACGGTAGAGCGACGGTCTCGCTTCATGCAGGTCGGCGTTCAATCCCCGATCGTCCAAGTGGTTGGGCACCATTCCTTCCCCCCCCCCCCCGTCCCATCCCAAATCCTTATCCTGACCCCAGTGCCATATAGTAGTGATGACTTGGCGCTTTCTCCTCATAGCCCGTCCCTCACTCACCAGTCCCAGTGCATGGTGTAGTGGTAACACACTCGCCCCGCGCATCGCCTGCAATTTGGCCAAGGTTCGTATCCTGGCCAGGGAGGATTGACTAGTCGCCAACTGTACGCTCCTGTTCACCCAGCAGTGATTGAGTACCTGGTTGTTAAACGATTCGCTTGTTGTGTTCCGGAGACACTAGCGGGTATAAGGCCCACCATGAGTTACGGGAAGTGACAGCTGTCGGCCTGATAACAGGAGCCAACAGCCGTCTCGTCCTGTACTCACCTGTGAACAAGAAAATGTGATAAGATAAATTCCCAGAAATTCCTCCTGTTGCTTTATCAGGACTAACTGGTCTTCGGTGTGTAATTATGTATTTCGTTAAACTATGTATTATTTGTTCATACATTTCTCTTTCGTTATACATACTTTTCTTGCAATACCTTTCAATCTATACATATTCTTCAATCATGTTTAGTCCCAGTAATGTGGGATTCCTGTCACTCAACAGGAACACGGGTCCCCCCACACAACAGGAACACGGGTCCCCACTCAACAGTAAGTGATCGGGCCAACAGGTCTGGGAGCAATAACAGTTGTGGAGACATTAACCTTCAGACTTGGCTGTGGCTCCTCTCTCTCTTCCATTCCCCTGTCTGTCAGCATAGGCGGGGCCATGCTGCCCCTGGGGGCGGGGCCATGCTGCCCCTGGGGGCGGGGTTCACCTTATAAACGTCATAGTTCTCTTGATCACCTCCTGTACACCTGAAACTAATGTTACAGTGTAGGGTTTTATATGGAGTGTACAGTACAGTATACAGCACTGTGTACTGTTCAGTGTACTGCACAATACACTGTACTCGCTGTGTGGAAGTGCCGGCATGTTTCACATTCCTTCTTTGTCGGAAGCCTGCATACGATAAATGTCCGTCGTTCAACTGGGGGAGGGAATAGGGAAGGATAGGAGAGAGGGAAGGAGGAGAGAATGAGGAAAGAGGGATACACGAGGGAAGAGAGGGAGGAGAGACAGAGAGAATCTCAAGATCTTTAAAAACACAATAGTGGCTGTTTCTATTTATTGTGCGTGCGTGTGCGTGCGTGTGTGTGCGTGTGTACATACCGTAGGAAGTTGTAATTACCGTCATCGTTTTCTCAGACTCTCCGCCTTTTAGGATTTTATTTACTCAAGACATTTCCTGTTTTCCGTCTTTTGCTTCTCCCGTCTTGTGGGCCCTTTGAGATGTCTGTCTGTTTCTCCTCACCCCCCCCTCTCCCCTCCTCTCATGTCTCTTGGGAATAGAAGCTTTTATCATCATTTGAGAAATTGTTTGTCATTGTGGTATTTCTACAGCTTGTTTATGGTGTTTGGCCTCTATATGTCTGCCTTACTGTTTGATATATAAATACCACAAGAGTTTGGTAAAACATCAATATTTATTAGTTAATTTAGCAAGGTGGAAGTCTTGCATTTACTCATTGAATGCTGGATCGAGAACAATATATTTTGTCCAAAGTGATATCCTTTGATATCCTTTGATATCCTTTGATATCCTTTGATATCCTTTGATATACTTTGATATACTTTGATATACTTTGATATACTTTGATATACTTTGTCCAGAGTGATATACTGCCATGATACAGTTGAGGCTGGAGCCATGTGCGGATTAATGCTTGTATTTCTTTACTTGATTTATCGATAACTATATTTCTTGTGCAAATATGTTGAAATAAAATTAAAGAATGAACGTTCGCTGGAATGACCGAAATATAACATTTGAGGCGAGAGAGAACTTGTTCTTCATAAAATATTCTTCAACAGCTATTGTTCAACAGGTGTTAGATGATTTCGAAATCTGAAAGTTTCTTGGAAAACTTTGCTTCTTGGTTCAGTACGAGGGTCTTGTGCTCACTTAAAACTTCAGTTTCACTCTCAAGATGTTCATTTTGTTACCAAGTGCTCATCTACCTCACGTGTTCTTCTACCTGATCTACCTTCACGTGTTCACGTGTTCTTTAGTTAACATTGCTGACGTTTTAGTAAATGTTATTCTTAGACGAACATTGCTGGAAGTTTGTAATTATTAAACCGTAATAGCGGCTGGCATTTCCTCTCTTTAATAAGTAAAGGTTAAAGTGGAATCTTCAGTAAAGAAAAACTAGCCTCTCTCCCTCTCTCCCTCTCTCGTTACTGTTACTGATCATTTATGAGTGTGACAACTATCCATATAATGGACCTCAACATTACTGATATTCATTCCTTTCCTCCGTCCTATCCTAAATCCTTATCCTCATATCCCATCCAAGTGCCGTATAGTCGTAATGGCTTAGTTCTGTCTGCTGATAATTATCTTGCCTTCGGTAGAGTCTCCAGAGAGCGTTCACATCTCTCTTCGTAACTCAAGTTGTATTACCAGAGCTCCTCCCTCAGACACCAGTCCTCAGACACAATGTCTTCTCATTGACTCGTCCTTTGATGAGCTATCACAGTTAATATATGAATAATGAATGAATGAAACGGTGAGAAGATGATTTAAAGAATAATCGGTCTATCACTGAATGTGATACTAGATATCAGCAAATGAATCCATGAATTAGTGATTTAAACAATGAAATAGCCATTGGATGGATAGTGAGTGCGTGTGTTGGTTGGTGAGTGCGTGTGTTGGTTGGTGAGTGCGTCGGCTAAATGTGTCGATTTTAATTTTCATGAACCAATGAATAAGTTAATGAGCAAGTGGATGCGAGTGTGGGTGACTGCTTTAGTTACTGAAAGAATTAAGGAGTCAAATTTTTGTGATTTTCAGTTTGAGTGACTGGGCACAGGGGAGATGTGACGGTGTCTGGTGTTCAATGTGTTCATAATTGTTACTACACTCCGCTGCCTGATTGTTGTTGTTGTTGTGTATGATTTATTCTTTGTTTCTTGCAGCAAGAACACAGAAAAGATCGTGTTGAACACTAAAGCAGAGTGGCTGTGTTTATTATGGAGGGAGAGAGAGTGCATTGTTGCTCTTGGGAATGTAGTTAAATGCAGGTTGAGGGTGATACAGTGTTAGCCAGCACACACTGCAGGTGGAGGGTGATACAGTGTTAGCCAGCACACACTGCAGGTGGTGGGTGATACAGTGTTAGCCAGCACACACTGCAGGTGGAGGGTGATACAGTGTTAGCCAGCACACACTGCAGGTGGTGGGTGATACAGTGTTAGCCAGCACACACTGCAGGTGGTGGGTGATACAGTGTTAGCCAGCACACACTGCAGGTGGAGGGTGATACAGTGTTAGCCAGCACACACTGCAGGTGGTGGGTGATACAGTGTTAGCCAGCACACACACATGGCAATTGATGAAATAGAAAAGTAGTGAAATGGCAAAATTTGGTGATTATGTTGCAGGTTTGTGTGTGTTTTGGGAGGTGTATGTGGGGGTGTATGTTGGGGGTGTGTGGATATGTGTGTGTGGGGGGGGGTGAGTGGGGGTGTATGTTGGGGGGTGTGGATATGTGTGAGTGGGGGTGTATGTTGGGGGGTGTGGGTATGTGTGTGTGGGGGGGTGTATGTTGGGGGGTGTGGGTATGTGTGTGTGGGGGGTGTGAGTGGGGGTGTATGTTGGGGGGGTGGGGGTATGTGGGGGGGGGGTGTAATATTTTATACTCTTTCTGGCTTCGTTTTCTCGTCTAATAACTGTTTTAATTAATATATTTTCCATATTTTTCTGTTCCCATTTCTGAATCTTCCTATTTGTGTTGTTCATCACACTTTTTACTTCCTCTGTTCTTCGTTTTCATCTTGTATCTCATTTTCAACCCATATTGTTTTTTTCTTTGGTTTCCAATTACATTTCATTTCAATTATTGTCACGTTTCGTGTTTTATTGTGGCTCAGTGAACAGGTTACGAAGACGAAGGTAACTTCTGTGTCCTCGTTTGGAGTGACTTTTGAGCCTCTTTATAAGAAGTGCTTCTTGAACCCTTTTTGTCGTGCATCTTGCCTCAGTCTTCCCGTCTCTTGCTTTCTCGTGATAATTGCTGACTTAACGTGTGTCTCGAATATCAGCGACGGAGTCCTGAATCTTGCGCCTTCGGTCGCCACTGACCGAGAGAGACCTGGTGGTGGAGGTGGTGTAATACTGAGGACGAAGGTGAGGTTAGTTCGTGTCCATGGTGACTGTGGGGGACCGATTGTTCTTCATTAAATATATATATTATCCATAATCTTAAAAACAAGTTAGTATTGGTGATTCTGAAAGGTAATATCTATATAAATAAAATGTAAATGTTCGTTTGTTCAAAACCGCTAATCTCCGAAAATTTTTCACCGATTGCTTTGAAATTTTGGACAGGAAACAAATGGGCAGAGTTTCTTTCACCCTGATGCTCCTGTTTATCTAGCAGTAAATAGGTACCTGGGAGTTAGACAGCTGTTACGACCTGTTACTTGTGTGTGTGTGTGCAGAATAAGCCTATGTATAAAATAACTTCAATTTACCAGACGACAGACAGATATAAACAGAGATATCCATACATGATCTTCATGAAAGTATAAAGATGTGTGTCTCTCCACAGCTACGACGCCCGCGCCAGCCTGGAGAGCGGGGGCGTGACCGTGGGCGGAGGTGGAGGTGGGCGGGCCAGGATGGTGCTCAGTTCAGGCGGGTCGTCTCTGGTGATCAGGAGTGTTCACAGAGAGGACCAGGCTGAGTACCGGTGCAGTGTTCACTACCGTCTCTCTCCCACCTGGACCCAGAGACTCCTCCTCACTGTCAAAGGTCAGCTTCCTCTCTCACTCTCCAATGTCTCAACACTTCTAAAACTCTGTGGTTTCAAAACCTGAATTTTTAGAACCAGAATTTTGAGAATTTTTTTAGAACCAGAATTTTGAGGATTTTTTTTAGAACCAGAATTTTGAGGATTTTTTTTAGAACCAGAATTTTGAGGATTTTTTTTAGAACCAGAATTTTGAGGATTTTTTTTAGAACCAGAATTTTGAGGATTTTTTTTAGAACCAGAATTTTGAGGATTTTTGTTTAGAACCAGAATTTTGAGGATTTTTGTTTAGAACCAGAATTTTGAGGATTTTTGAGAACCAGATTTTGAGGATTTTTGTTTAGAACCAGAATTTTGAGGATTTTTGTTTAGAACCAGAATTTTGAGGATTTTTGTTTAGAACCAGAATTTTGAGGATTTTTGTTTAGAACCAGAATTTTGAGGATTTTTGTTTAGAACCAGAATTTTGAGGATTTTTTTTTTAGAACCAGAATTTTGAGGATTTTTTTTTAGAACCAGAATTTTGAGGATTTTTTTTTAGAACCAGAATTTTGAGGATTTTTTTTTAGAACCAGAATTTTGAGGATTTTTTTTTAGAACCAGAATTTTGAGGATTTTTTTTAGAACCAGAATTTTGAGGATTTTTTTTTAGAACCAGAATTTTGAGGATTTTTTTTTAGAACCAGAATTTTGAGGATTTTTTTTTAGAACCAGAATTTTGAGGATTTTTTTTAGAACCAGAATTTTCGGAATTTTCAGAACCAGAATTTTCCGAATCGGAATATTCAGAACACTATTTCAGAACGGGTGTTTATCAAAATATTTCCGTGTCCTTTAATTGTCCAATTACAACTCATTGTTTCGTGTTCTAACTTGGGTTCATAATTTTTAGTTTCCACCGTTTCAGTCTTAATTAAACCTTTTCATTACTTGTACACTTCGATCATCTTGGTTTTACTTTACACTTTTCTAGAAACTTAAATTGACTTGGTTTGAGTCTTCACGAAATTTGTTGCCCGGCGTTGCATTAGTCATTCCTTCTATTTTATCTTATTTTGTATTTTCCATCCTCCTGTAGCCCCCCCCCCTTTGTTCACTTGATGAATGTATGAATGTTACCTTCTCGAATTCATGGTAACTCACTGAAGCCGGAGGGAGGGGGGGGGGTTACTGAAGCCCGAGGGAAGGGGGGGTTACTGAAGCCCGAGGGAAGGGGGTGGTCACTGCCTGAGGACTTAAGAAGTTGGCCTGCGCCTGAGAGGAGGCGAGGGTGGGGTCACTCGCCTCTAACTTGTACAACAAAATTAAAGTTTTCTGCTCAAATTTGGCTTCGTGTCTCACTTTATGTTAAGAGCGTAACACCTCACCCTTAAAACGTATCCGGATAAAACCTTAACTTTAGAAATGCTAAACATTAAAACTCTAAACATTAACATTTCATATGTTGTGAAGTGTCATGGAAGAATGTTTACTTTTAACCCAACTCGCTAAAACACTCAATTTTATTAAAAAGCTAAACGTTAAATTCTAATAATTTGTTGCGATTTTAATTTTGCCAATATTTGTTATTTTTGTTTTAAAATTTCTGTATTTTTTGTTTATAGTTTTTGAAGATAAATCTTATCTTTTACCCAACTGTTTTCTGATATTTTTGTCGACAAAGTTATGCTTGTAATAAATGTAGCTAATATAACTGTGTTTATAACTACGGTAATAACGACGAGCCAAGTTGCACATGCAGTTAGTTATTCAGTGAGATACGTTAATTTTGTTTGCAACTTGAAAGTGGGGAAAAAATTAAGCTATCAACCCGTATTTATACAAAAATTAATATTCATGGTATATTAATACCCTGTATATTAATTCTTTACCATGTATAATATACAAGTTATCTTAATTATAATATATTAAGGTATTATTTATAATGTAATTAATAATATAATGCGGCCTTCACGTATCTTGTATAATCTTCAAGGGACGCGAAGGACAGCGGCTTGTCCAACAATGTGTCACAGCTCTGGATAAGGAGTCACCAGCCTTCTGGGGCCGGATTCACGAAGCACTTACGCAAGTACTTACGAACGTGTACATCTTTCATCAATTTTTGACGCCTTTGGTTATATTTATTAAACAGTTTACAAGCATGAAAACTTGTCAATCTTCAAAACTAGTTGTTATTGTTATAAACAGCCTCCTGGTGCTTCGGAGCTCATAAACTAATTAATAATTGTAAACAAAGCCGCCAAAGATTGAGGAAAGATGTACAGGTTCGTAAGTGCTTGCGTAACTACTTCGTGAATTTGACCCCAGGTATCTTCAAGACCTTATGCCTGAGCTGTCTTTGGCAAAGGTCGAAGCAAAGTTTGATTGGAATAACACCCATTTTGCACACTATTGAGGAATAAACATTCGGAAAACACTACTATTGAGAGGCGGGACCAAAGAGCCGGAACTCAACCCACGTAAGCACAGCTAGGTGAATAACACTTATGTGAGTACTTCTCGCGAACAAAAGTTGTCTTGCATTGTATAATGGATGAATAATGACTTCGTACGTGTAGTTAACAATCTCGACTGTTGGAAGTCTGATAGACTTATCAATGTCAATCTAAGATAGACTGATACTCCCAGGATGCAACCCAATCACTTGGGCTGGACGGTAGAGCGACGGTCTCCCTTCATGCAGGTCGGCGTTCAATCTCCGACCGTCCAAGTGGTTGGGCACTATTCCTTTCCCCCGTCCCATCCCAAATCCTTATCCTGACCCCTTCCCAGTGCTATATAGTCGTAATGGCTTGGCGCTATGCCCTGATAATTCCCTCCCAGGATGCAACCCAGTCACCTAACTACCAGGTCATGCTTTACTGTTAGGTAAACAGCTGCATCAGGTGAAGGAAACTTGTCCAGACCTCGCTACCAGGTGCATAAGAGAGATGTAGACCAGAGTAAAGTGGAGGACTAGAGTATACTCGCTGCTTGGTCAGTAAACTATTGTGGTGGATTAATTAACCATCAAGAGGTTGAATGGCCTTAAACCCAACATCAAACAACGTTTCTACCTGCCGGGATTCTAACCTGTAACCGTTGAACAAATCCACAAGGGCCGTGACGAGGACTCGAACCTGCGTCCGGGAGCATCCCAGACACTGCCTTAATCGACTGAGCTACGACAGGGTAAAAGGGTTGAAACCGAATTGTGGATTTGTTCATTTGATGCATCACGTTAGTGTGATCTGTGTGTGTGGTTCTGTGACCGTTCCGTTGTGAAGCGAGTGTCGTGACCACTGCGCCAGTCCGGGGTGTCCTAGGAGGGAGGACACACAAGCCACGATACACTGCGGGTTGGTCTAACTTGACTATAAACTTTATAAGCGCAGTAACTTCTCTAAATATAAAGTGACATATTAATATTTGTGCTCTCGTGCGCCACCTTCCGCCTGTGTCACCGCGCATGCGCATGAACCATTGCCAGAAATAAAAGCGAAGTGACCTAATTCTTGTGTGGCGGAGCATGAATGGGTGAACTAATTACTCTCGAAACATTTTCGCTTCAAAACTTGGATACTAACATTATATCAACATTTTCTTTTGAAGTGCAATATTTTATTTGACTTTACTCCAGTCAGGGAGAGAATTCTTGCTCCTTTGATTCTGTATTCATGGAATCTTTTCATCATTTTTACCTTGACTTGGACTGGCATATATTTAGTGTCTTACAGTGCCACAGAAACACACCAATAAGTCACCACAAAACTTTAACACAACACCACAATATCTCGTCGCGTTAACTGGCGTTGGTAGAGTGAACAAAAACAGTGTTAACCGGAAGATGGTGAACAATGTTCTTGTTAAGTTGCAACCACTGGCCGCCACCTCTCAACTGCAACTCAAGTTATTCAAGCACTTGAGTTTCCCTTTATCTTGAGGTTATCTTGAGATGATTTCGGGCCGGAAGCAGGAAGCAGCCCGTAGCACCTGTCTAACTCCCAGGTACCCATTTACTGCTAGGTGAACAAGTGCATCATGGTGAAAGAAACATTTTGCCCATTTGTCTCCGCCTGCACACCCTCACGTGATGAGGTTGTGGTGATATGCAACCCGTTCTCGCACTTTCGTATAGTCAATATTGACTTATTAAATACGTGCATATGTGACATACTAAATATACTAGTTTACCTTGAAAAGCTTCAAAGAAAACACCGACCTTACCTAACCTTCTTAGTATGTTAAGATAAGCATCTTATTGCTTCGTAATTACAATTATTACTTAACCTATTATAGGTATAGGTTAAGAAGCAATAAGATGCTTATCTTAAGATGCTTATACCTATTATAGGTATAGGTTAAGTAATAATTGTAATTACGAAGCAATAAGATGCTTATCGTAACATACTAAGAAGGTTAGGTAAGGTCGGTGTTTTCTATGAAGCTTTTCAAGGTAAACTAGTATATTTAGTATGTCACATATGCACGTATTTAATAAGTCAATATTGACTGTAAGAAAGTGCGATATGGGTGCTGGTGGTGACTAGGAGCGGGGCTTGCCGGAGGAACAAAACAACATTGTAATTTCGAAATTTCATTTCGCGGCATTATTAGTCTCGAGAATAATTGAGAACTTAATGATCTCAGAGAGAGAGTGTGAGAGATAGAGGGAGGAAAAGAGACAATCGTTAGTCACCTGCCAAACTATACATTTATAGATGAAAAGTAACCTTGCTTTATTCTTTATATACGGGATGATTTTTAGAGCTCGTTGTCTGTTGACCTTCAGTTTAACCTGGCCTCTTGTCTTGTTAACCTGGCCTCTTGTCTACACTTGCACCAGGCGAGTGTAGCCTGGTGCAGCTGTGGGAGTGTAGCGTGGTGCAGCTGGAGCCACTGGAACAAGGAGCGTGGTGCAGCTGGAGCCACTGGAACAAGGAGCGTGGTACAGCTGGAACCACTGGAACAAGGAGCGTGGTGCAGCTGGCATCAAATAAGTATATGCTAATATATTGAAGTTCACTGGTGCAGTGAGGGGGGAAAATAGGGAGTGGAAGGTGTGGGTGGATAGTGATAGACAGAGGTGACGGAGAGGGATGGCGGTGGACGGGAAGGAAGGAAGGAGGCAGAAGAGACACCAAGAAGGACAGGACGAAGAAATGGATAACTAAAAAAATGTGAACTGAACTGGACTGAATTTGGTCACGGGAATGAACAAGAGTATTGTAGTGTTCCTGTGTGTTGAAGGTTGCAGGTTGGGCAACAACAAGGTTCATTCTAAGGGAAGAGAACTTGGACATTTGAAACACGCAGACGAATAAGGTTTTTGAAATGTTATGGGAGACAATACTGGCTGCTTTATAGGTTCAAGGATTAGTAAGAGAAGAATAAAAGGGAAGGGGGAAATACGAGGGAAAAGTGGCGGATGGGTATAGTGGGAGAAAGGAATTATCTGCATAATGGCTTATAGAATTCAATCCAAGCAAGTGTAAAGGTTAGAGACTTCGGGGTTGTGGGGGGGGGGGTTATTGAGGCTATAGAAACTTCAGAAAATGTAACTAACTTCAGTGTGCGGACACCACATGGAACCTCGTGCAAAATTTGAGAATATAATAACAGCTTTGAGGAACCTTAACGAAGGGGTACTTTAGGATCCTCTACACAACATACACAAGACCACTACTGATATATGCAGCACTGGCATGTGCCGTTATCTTTTGAAACAAACACAAACATCAAATGTCCATAGATTTGTCATGAGATTCTTGCCAGAAATGCGTCATCTGAGCTTTGAGTACAGGCAACAAGTACCGAGACAAATGATGTTTACATATCACATACCGAGAGGTATAGATAACATTGTGAGTCTGTTCCAGAAAAAGAGACAGAATGAGAGGACAGAAGAGGAAACTGGGGACAGAAATATAAGGAAATTCACTGGTTGAGGAGAAACACTCCACAACTTGAAGAGCCGACGTGACGAAGTCTTAGTAAAAGAGCAAAGTAGCAACAGTTGCTATATAGTAAAGAGCCAGACAAAGCTCCTCCCCTCCCCCGCAAGCAATAAGCACCCTTATGTAAGGTTAGACCGCGCGCGCACGCTCTTTTCACTGATAATTTACACATATGAATTGTCGGTAATGGACATGTCTCTCGCTCTCTCTGGCTCTTTTTCGCGCTCTCTCTCGCTCGCGCTCTCTGTCGCTCTCTCAACCGAGTAAGGACAATTTGGAGGGAGAAGAGAAACAGGCGGGGAGGGGGGGGGTGAAGGCAGGGAGAGAGAGAGAGGGAGGGGGGGGGTGAAGGCAGGGAGAGAGAGAGAGGGAGGGGGGGGGGGTGAAGGCAGGGAGAGAGAGAGAGAGAGAGAGGGGGGGGGGGGTGAAGGCAGGGAGAGAGAGAGAGGGAGGGGGGGGGGGTGAAGGCAGGGAGAGAGAGAGAGAGAGGGGGGGGGGTGAAGGCAGGGAGAGAGAGAGAGAGGGAGGGGGGGAGGTGAAGGCAGGGAGAGAGAGAGAGAGAGGGGGGGGGGAGGGAGGCTCAGTAATGCTTGACTCTTAAATACATTTCAGTTTAACATTTTGTAGCTGTCATTGGTCGCTGTCGCCATTTAATTTGACTGACATTTGTTTGCCATGAGGTTGTGCACTTATTAACGGTAATAATAATAATAATACAAATTTTGACTTATTATAATGTTAATTTAAATTATCATTTAGCTTATTATAATTCGGGTTATATTTGTTTATATTATTACTGCTACTGTTACTGATCTTGTAAATAAAGAACATATATATACTTGAGGATCACTTAAATATAATGAAGTGCAAATCAACTTTGGTTCTGGTACGAGTTTTCAACTCAAATATATATCAAGACTTAGGACTCGTCATGAGCATCGATGAAAGGCGCGGATTAAAGTCAATTTTCTCCTAATTGCCTCCCAGGTCAATTTGATCATCCCGTCAGAGTTGAGGGAATTGAGGGGGTGGAGCAGGGGACGAGGGACAGGGAGCAGTGGGACATGGGGCCGGAAGAAGGGGGGGGGGTAGGAAACGTAGGGAGAGGAAGAAAAGCGACGGAAGGTAAAGAGTGAAGGGAAGGAATGGATGGAAGAGATTGAAGGATCGGGCAGAAAGGTAGAGGATTGAGTGAATTTCAATTTCCCACGTTTAGGAATATTTAGATAATTTTGTTTCAATGTGTTTCCTTCTTTCTGTCACAACGAAGACTGAGGTCAAGTGTGTGACCTCTCGTGGGTCACTTGTCATTGTGTCGTCAGAAGAAACAGTGATAACGGGTCAACAACAGGTCTAACACAGCCGGTATTGAGCCGAACCTGTTGACATTGGTAGTCATGAGAATTTAACGCAGCTCAGTCTTTCTCTAATGAGGATTTGGTGTTTTGGATTACTGAGTAGCTCAGGCGAGGGGGGATTACGGGGATTGGGATTGTTTAAGGCTAATGATATGACCAATCTTTAGCAAGTATTGCGCTGAATATCATTTGTCTGGTGTGTGTGTGTGTGTGTGTGTGTGTGTGTGTGTGTGTGTGTGTGTGTGTGTGTGTGTGTGTGTGTGTGTGTGTTAGGGCAGCCTCCCCTGTCCCTCCAACCCACAAACAAACACCCTCTCCCCCAGTTCCTCGAGTCCACCTGTTCCTCTAGTCCAGTTTTCATTGATATGTTTTTCTTTAAATTTCAACAGGGATAGTTTTCCTGAAGCTTCTCTTCTCTGTCAGTCCACTTTTAACATTGTTTTCTTGGTTGTACCTTGAGAGCTGCACTATGGATAGGCTGGGCTAGTCTCTCCCAATCCCAGTTGTAATATTGGCTTGGTTTTCACTCCAACAGATTCCATATGGATAGTGTCGGTGACGGACAGCACGGGGCGCCCTCTGGACGGGAGCAGTGTGGGGCCCATGGCTGAGGGCTCCTCCCTCAGTCTTGCTTGTCAGGCGAACCACGGTGAGTACATCTTGGCCTGGGCCACCTGTGTTGCAGCTGCTGCTGATGCATCTCGTTCCTCATGCACCACAAATATATATATATATATATATATATATATATATATATATATATATATATATATATATATATATATATATATATAGTGTGTGTGTACTCGCCTAGTTGTGCTTTCAGGGGTTGAGCTCTGGCTGTTTAGGCCCGCCTCTCCACTGTCACTCAATCAACTGATTCCCCCCCCCCCCCAGGAAGCGGCCCGTAACAGCTGTCTAACTTCCAGGTACCTATTCACTGCTTGGTGAACAGGCCCATCTGGGTGAAAGAAACTGCCCATTTGTTCCTGCCTCCGCAGGGGATCGAACCCGGACCCTTAGGACAACCCCGAGCGCTGTCCACTCAGCCGTCAGCCCCCCCCCCCCCCACAGGTGTGTGTGGGGGGGCTGACGGTGTGTGTGTGTGAAGGAAATCGCATAACGACGAAGGGAAAATAAACAAGACATCATTTAAGCAAATTCGTTGATTTCTTCAGTAGTTCTTCCGAAGATGAGTTGATTAACACGAAATTGCTTAAATAATTTCGTGTTTCATTTTCCCTCCGTGATTATACGATTTCACATTCTTCATCACGCATTAATTTCTTAATGATTTACCCGCACTTGGAGGTATTAATTACTCCGAGACACGATAAACTGAAGGTCCTTAACGCCAAGTAATTTTCGGGTTAATCCTAACGAGGTCGTAATGTTCAGACAATAGCAGCCACAATGTAATTTTTCGTTGCTTGAACAAACATATTTTATCTCCATCGATTCCAGGCTAATCTCCTTACTTTTTTGTAATGCTTCTCCTGCCATGAATCTAGCCAATCGCAGTGACTTTAGCAAATAAGCTGCAATTTAACTGGCTAATCTCCGAAGCGACGCTGGGCCACAGTAAGTCCACGAGACGCAAAAAATGACCGCGATTATTCAAGTGTGTGAGCCCCCCCCCCCCCCACGTGCCCTCGTCTGACCTGAGGGGAGGGATGGGTAGGGACGGCGGTAAGGAATAGTCGAGAGGGAAAATTGATGATATCGAGGAGAAAGAGATGGCATAGAGGGGAAAGGGATGGATGAGAAAGGAAAGGGGGGATGAGGGAAGGGAAGGGAGGGAATTATCAGGAGAAAGCGCTAAGCCATTACGACTATATAGCACTTGGAAGGGGTCAGGATAAGGATTTGGGATGGGACGGTGGGAAAGGAATGGTGCTCAACCACTTGGGCACTATTCCTCCATGTTTCGTGATGACCAAGAACATTGCCATCTGTTCTCCAGCGTTGTTCACCTGACCTTGTTCTTCACCTCGTAGTTATGGGAATCTTTTTCCTGAACATTTGATATTCTGACAGTTTTTGACAATGTTACAAACTTTTCCAAACTTTTTCCATTTGGCTGTCTACCTTCTCTTCCCTCGTTTCATTTTCTACCCAATCGTCCCCGCCTGGGCTGTCAGCCCCCCCCCCCCGCCTGTGCTGTCAGCCCCCCCCCGCCTGTGCTGTCAGCCCCCCCCCGCCTGTGCTGTCAGCCCCCCCCCCGCCTGTGCTGTCAGCCCCCCCCCCGCCTGGGCTGTCAGCCCCCCCTCCCCGCCTGTGCTGTCAGCCCCCCCCCGCCTGGGCTGTCAGCCCCCCCGCCTGGGCTGTCAGCCCCCCCCCCGCCTGTGCTGTCAGCCCCCCCCCCGCCTGGGCTGTCAGCCCCCCCCCGCCTGGGCTGTCAGCCCCCCCCGCCTGGGCTGTCAGCCCCCACATTGTCGACTTTACTAAAACCAGTTTCCGCGAGATATCAAATATATGCGAGCAAGAGGGAAATGACGAAGCATCAATTAAGCAGGTGAGAGAGCATGTTGTTGTCTCTCTTGCGTCTCGCTCCTCGCGTGTCTCGCGTCTCTTGCGTCTCTTGCATCTCTTGCGTCTCTTGCATCTCGCGTCTCTTGCGTCCCGCCGCAAACTTCATCCTACCGATGGATAATACTCAGCTTTGACTCATTTGCATTCGCGAGGTAAATGACGCCGGTGTTGACGGGAAGTGCACGCCTCGCTAACCTGCCCCACACAGTGTGCAATGTTGCAGGAAGACTCTGTGTCACGGCGCTGCCAGGCATTATTTGTTGTTCCAGGGTATGAGAGTAGGTGTTGCAAGGGTGAACCGTGCAGTGTTGCAAGGGTGAACCGTGCAGTGTTGCAAGGGTGACCCTTGTAGTGTTGCAAGGGTGACCCTTGTAGTGTTGCAAGGGTGAACCGTGCAGTGTTGCAAGGGTGACCCTTGTAGTGTTGCAAGGGTGACCCTTGTAGTGTTGCAAGGGTGAACCGTGCAGTGTTGCAAGGGTGAACTGTGTAGTGTTGCAAGGGTGAACCGTGCAGTGTTGCAAGGGTGACCCTTGTAGTGTTGCAAGGGTGAACCGTGCAGTGTTGCAAGGGTGAACCGTGTAGTGTTGCAAGGGTGAACCGTGTAGTGTTGCAAGGGTGAACCATGCAGTGTTGCAAGGGTGACCCTTGTAGTGTTGCAAGGGTGACCCTTGTAGTGTTGCAAGGGTGAACCGTGCAGTGTTGCAAGGGTGACCCTTGTAGTGTTGCAAGGGTGACCCTTGTAGTGTTGCAAGGGTGAACCGTGTAGTGTTGCAAGGGTGACCCTTGTAGTGTTGCAAGGGTGACCCTTGTAGTGTTGCAAGGGTGAACCGTGCAGTGTTGCAAGGGTGAACCGTGCAGTGTTGCAAGGGTGACCCTTGTAGTGTTGCAAGGGTGACCCTTGTAGTGTTGCAAGGGTGACCCTTGTAGTGTTGCAAGGGTGAACCGTGCAGTGTTGCAAGGGTGAACCGTGCAGTGTTGCAAGGGTGACCCTTGTATTGTTGCAAGGGTGACCCTTGTAGTGTTGCAAGGGTGACCCTTGTAGTGTTGCAAGGGTGAACCTGCAGTGTTGCAAGGGTGAACCGTGCAGTGTTGCAAGGGTGAACCGTGCAGTGTTGCAAGGGTGAACCGTGCAGTGTTGCAAGGGTGAACCGTGCAGTGTTGCAAGGGTGAACCGTGCAGTGTTGCAAGGGTGAACCGTGCAGTGTTGCAAGGGTGAACCGTGCAGTGTTGCAAGGGTGAACCGTGCAGTGTTGCAAGGGTGAACCGTGCAGTGTTGCAAGGGTGAACCGTGCAGTGTTGCAAGGGTGAACCGTGCAGTGTTGCAAGGGTGAACCGTGCAGTGTTGCAAGGGTGAACCGTGCAGTGTTGCAAGGGTGAACCGTGCAGTGTTGCAAGGGTGGACCGTGCAGTGTTGCAAGGGTGGACCGTGCAGTGTTGCAAGGGTGGACCGTGCAGTGTTGCAAGGGTGGACCGTGCAGTGTTGCAAGGGTGGACCGTGCAGGGTTGCAAGGGTGGACCGTGCAGGGTTGCAAGGGTGACCCTTGTAGTGTTGCAAGGGTGACCCTTGTAGTGTTGCAAGGGTGAGGCGTGCAGTGTTGCAAGGGTGAGGCGTGCAGTGTTGCAAGGGTGAGGCGTGAGTGCAGTGTTGCAAGGGTGAGGCGTGCAGTGTTGCAAGGGTGAGGCGTGCAGTGTTGCAAGGGTGAGGCGTGCAGTGTTGCAAGGGTGAGGCGTGCAGTGTTGCAAGGGTGAGGCGTGCAGTGTTGCAAGGGTGAGGCGTGCAGTGTTGCAAGGGTGAGGCGTGCAGTGTTGCAAGGGTGAGGAGTGCAGTGTTGCAAGGGGGTTGCAACACTTTACGGTAATTTCCGGCTTTGTCACCAGGTCGTAGAATTCTATTAAGCCAGTCAGGCAAGATTTACCCTCCCTGAATCCATGTTGTCGATATGTCACCAAGTCCCTTCCCTTCAAACCGTCCAATGAGAGGTTCGCCCTCAGCACGTGTGTTACAGACGAGACGGCCGGGGCCGGCAGCTGGAGCTCGCAGCGCCACCTCTAACAGCGACCACTTCACTACACCGGGAGAGGTACAATAAACAGCCGCGAAATTATATTGTGGATTGTACAATGTTGTGAGGTAACTCCTTGAGTGACGGGCAGCTGATGTGGCGGCGTGAGGAGTGTCAGAGGAGCAGGGGGGGGGGGGCAGACTGAGAGGAGAGGTTGAGAAGAAAGAGGAGCAGGTACAACACGAGGAGAAACGAGAATCGGAAGAAGAGGAACAAAATAAGGTTTATCTTGAGATGATTTCGGGGCTTTTTTAGTGTCCCCGCGGCCCGGTCCTCGACCAGGCCTCCACCCCTAGGAAGCAGCCCGTGACAGCTGACTAACACCCAGGTACCTATTTTACTGCTAGGTAACAGGGGCATAGGGTGAAAGAAACTCTGCCCATTGTTTCTCGCAGGCGCCTGGGATCGAACCCAGGACCACAGGATCACAAGTCCAGCGTGCTGTCCGCCCGGCCGACCGGGTGAAAGGGATTAATGCAAAAATTAAATGGAAATTTTGATATGATTGAATAAAGTATGAAGAATGTGAAGATCATCTACGGGAATGTCAGCAAATAGTGAAGCTGGAGAATGAAGTGGAACTGGAAGAGAGGAAGTGGCAAGAAGTGATAAAGGAAGTGAACAAAATTTGAAAAGTGGCAGAGAACATTAGGAAAAGAAAAAGTTTTATAAAAAATGTGTTTAAAATATGATAGAATGCCACTGAGAGAACAGTGCCAGTGCCATGGGACAGTAAGGAGGAGACGGAGGAACGGAAACGTGGGAGAAGAGAGGGAAGAGAGGTCGCAAAAGAAGTGGAGAAGATGGGAAACAAAGCGACATCCTTAATAACATATTTTCTTACTCAAGTCTTCCGTGTTTTGGGAAGTCAAGAAACGTAGTTTTCCTCACCGCCTTAAAATGTTATACAAAACTGTCAATTAGTCTCCTGGGGATCGAACCTGGGTTCTCCTTACTTCACCAAATTATCAAGTTGACTGGTATCGAACCCGCGTTCTGCCAATTAACAAGCACAGCGAGTGTGGCGCGAACCCTCTGGCACTAATGTTGGGCC